TGCCATCTGCTTTGTTAACAATGAGGCGATGCTAATCCTTTACAAAACTGCACAGACCACTCTAGCAGAATTCACAGGAACACCTTAAAGCAGCAAGTCCTTGATCATTTTATCAATTGCACTCCCCAGTTAGGTTTCCTTCCATCTAACAAATTACTACAGCTAGAATGAGCCCTGCAAAAAGCCATTCTCCAAAAAAAAAAAAAAAAGCTTTTTCCAGGGGGAGTGCTGGAATCCAGCAAGCCTTGGATTTTCCCAAGGGAGCTGTCAGCTCTGTGCTTGCTCCAAACCCTTCCTGGCCTGCAAACATCCGGCAGCCTCACGCCTGCTTGGCGTAGGAAGCGCGGAGTGGGTGAACTCTGAAACTCTTGGATGAGGGATGTGGTTGGAAGGGCTGCTCCCAGGAGGGATCCTTCCTCTCCCGTTACTCAGAGGAAACACTGCAGCTAAATACAGCTGTTACCTTTATCTAGTTTTACCCTGCTTGTGCACAGGCTGGAGGGAGGCCAGGATTGAGGAATGTTTGCCCCAAACAAGGGGCTGGGAGATCAGCTGCAGGGATGTATATACTGCCCTGCATGCCTCCCCTTCCGCTGGGAGACACACAGGGATTTCCTTCCACTGTGTCAACCCCGCTGTTTTCAAACAGGAACATTGTCCCAGCTTTACCTTGACCGAGAAAAACAACTTTCATCAGCAAAGCTGTATTTATTTCTTGCCTAAAGAGGATATCCTTCCAGTTCCATTATATATTGGCCACCTGCTATGGGCTTCGCGACAGTTCCAGGCTCCTGTTCACTCAAGGGCTTACACCCAAGTAATTCCACCTTTATTTCCAGTGTTCATCACTTAAAATCTAATTCAGAAATGAGAACCTTCAGAGAGAAAAGTGCAGAGGCAAGGGAGTGAAGTGTACTCCAGATTTGTGCCTTTCCAGCGTTTCTCAGTTACAATGATACATCTTCCACGCTTCCCCAGGTGACCCAAGCAGAGATAATGTGGAATGTAAAATAATTCTTGGCCAGCAGCCTCCTGTCAGTGCCTCATCCATGCCCAGTTTGCTGCTGCTGAAACCATCAGTGTGTAATGGCCAAGCAGGCTACTGTCACTTCCTATGCTCAGGCTCCACCACATGATGGGAGTGTGTATGTTCATGAAGACATCTCACAGCCCAGAAGCCACAACCTTCAAGTTATCACAGATGGCCAAAATTCCATATTCTATAAGAACCAAACAACTTTCAGAGAACGAGTGAATTCATAATTGCCAGATGTTATGCAGGAAGATTCAAGGGTCCTGAAACTTCTCCCTCTAAAAATTTAAACGTATGGGTAAGAAATACCAGAATATTGCTTGTTCTAAAAGGTCCCCAGTGGGGGTTGCCCTATTATTTTTCATTTTATTTTTGTATGACCAGAGCAAAGTTCCCTTTGCACACAGCTGGCACAGAATATTTAGTAAGATCCTCATTCTTACGAGAGAGACAGATTTTAACAGCTCAGCAATCCAGGCACTGGCAGCCCTGGGGGCTGATGGAATCAGCCATGCAGATGGAAACAATTATTTAGGAAGGGAAGGACTCCTGCATGCATGGAGCAACATCTCACTAAAACTGAAGCCTCCCACCAACACATTCCAGACTCTTGGAGTAATCTGCTTTGGGGAGTATGCTTTAAGCTACATCAGCTTTTGTATTTCTTTCTCCAATCTCAATTGCAATCACAAAACATACTGCCCTGCAAACTGACCCAACGGTCTGGCCAAAGAGCAACAAACACCAGGAAATATTACAAACATCTGAATCTCAAACCACTTTAGAGACCCAACTCTTCAAGCAACAAGTTCTGATTTCAGACAAGCTTTTCACTGCACAACACACCTGGAAGGACTTACCCACCCAATCAACAACTCTGTAGTGGATGACTTACACCTAAACTCTGTGGAATAAATAATGAAAACATCACACATGCTGTACTCGATATGTACTTTATCAAACTGAAGAGCTTTACATAAATCAAAATCATGAGTGTTGGAAAGGAACAGAATTTCCAAAAGCACAAATTGATTAGAAATATCTAATTAAGGGTAATACTTTCAAGCCAGCTGCATAAAGAATATTCCATGTAATATGTTGCAGGAGAAAAGTAACTCCAGCAGGTTTCAATTAAGCCTCGTTGCCATATGGATTTTACATCCACAGCAGGAAGGCTCAAACATCATGTCACAACTAAGATATTTTTATGTCTCCAACTGAAAGCATTTAAACTACTTGGAATAGAAGCATATGGGCCATAACATCCCCAATTAAGAAAATATTTTGCTGTACTGGGAGCCTAAAAGGCATATGAAACTAAAATGCATGATATTCTTGGTCAAGTATGGTAGTTTCTAACTTTTAAAGGATATAAAAAGCTAAGAGTGTATTGCATGTGTGCCCTGGTGACCTCCTTACCCAAAAGAGAATATTCCAGTGCAGGAGACAGTGATTTTCGAGGAAGCCCTGAAGGGGTGGGGGCTCCTTTGCTCTGCAGACAGGGAAGGGAACTGCTCCTGGAGCAGTTGACACCACCACCAGCACATGTGAGGGGCTCCTCAGGCCAACCTCCTGCTTAAAGCAGGCTCAAACTGAAGCCAGAGCAGGGTTCTGAAAGCTCTGGCCAGTTGGGTCATGTACAGAACTGAGGTGTCAGCACCTCTTTGGGCTCCCATTTCAGCACTCCAGTGAGTGTTATTGTCCTTAAGGCAAGCCAGACACTCACCCTTTTCAGTTTATAAAGCCTTGACAAGTAACACAACTCTTTATCCAACTAATCAAAGATGTTGTGAAGTAGGAAACAACAGTTATGGTTTTTTTTCCTTTTCATATTAAAAAAATGACTTCAAAAATGTGTCTTGATTAACCCAAGAACTCGGTTGCTGCTGCGCCCTCTTGGGATCTCGAGCCAAACCTTCAGTGTTATTTTCCTTCATACAGCTGGGACCCAAGAACCCCAATTCCTCCTTACTGGAAACAGATGTCAGCCAAGTTAAATCATCCCATGACTCCTGCAGGAGAAGGATGTAAACAGCCACAGCTCACCCAGCTGTTACTCAGAGAGGTTCTGCTGACAAGTTAGAGATCCCCACATGCTGCAAGACCTTCAAAATGCTTTGACATAGTGATTTGAGATATGTTTATCACTTAAATCAAACAAAGCACGTTAGGTCACTTCAGTTTACACTAGATTAGATTAGAGTTTGGGTCTTTTTACCAACATCTTCCAGAGTTTTGAGCTCAGAGGAGAAAGAAATTGTTATCTCTGTTTTTATACACACAATGCTTCCCAACAGAGTCTTAATGTTTAACAGACCCCACCCCTGCAACATGCCTGCAAAGTAAAGGCTTTACAAACAAGAAGAGGGGAAAAAAAAGAGAGATTAAGTGATGTGCAAAAGGTCACAAAAGACATACAGTACAGTTTGGCACAGAAATGCATCTTCCAGCTCCCAGGAGGTTTAACTTCAGCCAAAAGGAACTACCAAATTACAGCTCTCACTAATGCTGTGCTCCAGAGTGTTCAACCCAGGTTTTGCTATTCTTTCAGGTGAAAAAAATACCTGGTTGCTGTAACATGGAAGTGCTCTGGGACAGACTCTGCTGGGTGCATATGAGAAATGATGCACCAGGTGAACAAGAGACCCTCAGGTGAATTAAATCCAAAACTATTTGCAGTCAGTGTAAACAACCACACTTGCAGGATCTCCACTACAGCATCCAAGGCTGCAAACACTCTTGCTGATGCCCAGGAAGCAGCTTTTGCTCACAACAGCAAAAGGAAATTAAAGCACAAACTCATGGATGTTGTTGAAACACTTGCAGCCTACAAGGCAGCTGCAAGGTCATGCTACATTCATGCTGTGAGTTCCAAATGCCCAGCAAAGACAGGCACAGGGGCAGGCATTACAGCCAGATTCAGGGAAAGGAAATCGTTTAAGACTTGTGGATCACAATATGAAGTCTACAGGGTTCAAACTGAGACCCCTCATCTGTAGGTCTGTGTCCATTCTCCAGGCCAGGTTCACACACCACCAATCTCTTACAAGAGATGCTGACCCACAGCAGAACCAAAATGCCCTTTCTATACTACTTTTAGCTGAATTCATGCACAAAATTCTTGGCAGCCAAATATTTATTTGTGCATTATTTCTCACAGCTCAAAGGCAGGAAAACCAGGTTTACACCACTAATGCCATCAGCATAGCTGTGGTACTGGGCAACTCTGCAGGAACCAGGAGTCCTGACAGTAGCTTTCTCAAGCAGGTTTTTGCACATTGGCACCAGCCTCCCTGCTATTACAGTGACACTGCCAGGGACAGCCAGCCCAGCCAAGCTAAAGTTATTCTGAGTGTATTTATGCAGGCTAAAAACTGCACAAAGCAGACACTTTGGTAGCACCAGGCTTTAGAACACCGCCATGGAGTACAAGAGGCAATATTCTCCCAGACCTTTAGATTGTTTATTTACCCACCGCAGTTCATCTCCTTCTTTGCAGTGCTGGTCCCAGTATAACATTTTTAATTTAAACTGTGGCATTCTGGCAACCACCTCAAGATAGCAGGGTTTCTTTTTGAACTGAGGTTAACAGTCTGAAAGACTCAAGCAGCCTGAACAAGTGAAACCCCATAGAGACAGGAGATATCATTCCCAGGGGTTCAGCTGCAATGTTAGAGGCATCCCCAACGATGCAGCTGCACGATGAAACCTTTCTTGCCAACACATTTCAAGTGCACATAGTGGAAAAGGTGAAGAAAAAAACCTTGACACTACCAGCAAGCGTCCTCCTGGCTGGCTCAGGGAAGACAGCTTTGCTATGTCAGTAGAGCCGAGACAATAACCCCATTCCCCAACGGGGCAGAAGCCAAATTCTGCGGGAAAAGCGACAATTCAGCACTGCACGACCGCGGCATCCCGACCCCCGGGGCACGGCCGGAGCCCCCAGCAGCGCCGAGCATCAGCTTACCTGGAGCGGCCAGCGCTGCGGACCACGGCCGGAGGAGAGGAGGAGGAGGAGGAGGAGGAGCAGAGAATTCTCCCGACCCCGCAGCTCAGCACCCGCTGGCCGGAGCCGCCCAGGGCGGGCGCGGAGCTCAGCGGAGGTGGGAGCAGAGAGGAGACCCCCGCTTCCCTTCTTCTCTTCTTCCCTTCTTCTCTTCTTCCCTTCCTCCCTCCGCCCCCGTCCCGCCCCTCCAGAGCTCGCCCCGCTCCCCGCCCGCTCCCTCCGCATCTGCCCGGAGCATCCCACCCTTCTCGTTCTCCAGGCGGGGGAAGAGACGGGGGACACCCGCTGGAGAAGACCCCGAAGCTCCCTCCAGGGAGAGGGGGATGTCCTCGGCAAACAGCTTTTGTTTTTCTTTTGTGTTTTCCTTTGTAAAGGAAAGAGCCTCGAAAATAAAGATGCGGGCAAACAAGTTTTATTTAAGAGCATGGACAAATATTTGGCCACGCGGGGCTCAGGGGATGGGGAGGGAAAGGCAAACACAAGCAGGGCAGGTTTCATCGCTGTTGCGGGCTGGTGCTTCTCAGTGTGTAAGGCTCTGGAGAGACAGGCACCGCACATGGGCAGCGGGAACAATGACTTTCACAAGCGGCAGCGTGTTCATTGAATTACTTCGTAATTCAGGCCCTCTTGAAAACAAAAGAGTGTGTTGAACGTGTGCATCAACACAAGAGCACACAGCTGTTCTGTTCGGAACCCAGCACCTCGATAAACCCTTGGGCTACAAAGCGATGGCTCATCTCAGGCTCCTCACCCTCCTTGTGGTTCCAATAACTGGTTAAATCAAGCTGTTGGTGAGTGCCTCTCTAGGCTGTACTCTACCTCACATCAGCCTGCCAGCTGTGCCGAAAAGCAAAGCCTGAACGGAAATCAGGGACATGCACGCTCAGGATCTGCAGAGGGCTTAATTATTTCTTGTTAATTGGAGGTAGACCTGCTTAATTTTTTTAGACCTGAGTGTTGAAAAGTCGTTTCCTACTTTGGGAACTGACAAGCTGCAGATGAGAGAAGTGCTAATTGGACTCTAAGTATAATAATCCTATGGCTGTATTGCATTTAAAATCCAGTAAGAGCTACTACAGAGAGAGACTATTTGATCTTATTTGAAATCAAAGATTACTGTTGGTGGAGTGCTTGGTCCTTATAAAAAAGGAGCTTATCCCTCTGAGGTGGGAGTGGAGCAGAATGGACAAGAAATTGGCTGCCATCCATCTCACATTTAGGCTGTCAGCATTCTGAAAGCAGCTGAGTAGGTGCTGACTTAGCCTTGAGTGGGTTTCTTTTCCAGAGCATTCCCCTCCCTCTGCCACGGTGCAGTAGCTGTCACCAGTGCTGACCTGGATTGCCATGGGACTCCCTGCTTTATTTCACCCTGAGGTGGTTCTCTGAGCTTGACTCAGCTGTAGTTTCTTCCCCAGCACTGAAAGCAACAGTGCTCTGCTCTCCAGCCTCAGGGAGCCCAGGATTTTCCCAGCTTTTTCACCCAGCAAAGCAAACAGCTGAGCCACATAGGTAACCAGATAGGATGGCAGCAGTAGAGTCCTCAGGATGTTAAAGGTCTGGAGCATCAGGCAGACATATTTCCAGGTGAGAGAAGAAAGTGAGGTGCAAAACAGCTGGGGAAGAAAATGAAGAACACATTTGTCACTGCAATGATATCTTTGGAAGAAGTTCCATTTTCAGAGGAATATATAGGATTTTGAAACCACCAGTGCTTTTTCCCTTCCCTCACCCACCCAACACAACAAATGTTATGTCCTACAAAAGACAAGTTCAAGCTGCTGTGTTCAATCAATAGTTGTACATATGAGGAATCCTAGGAGAACCAAATGGTAGCCTAGACAAGACCAAGCTCATTGTTATCACTGTTAGCTTTTGAAAAACTGCAAAATTAATGAATAAATAAATTAATAAATAAATTGTTACCACACTGATTTGGTACCACCTTGGTGGTGTTAACGGTCTCAAAAATGCTTTCAACTGAGATATTGCTGATGCCATGCTAAAGCTCAGCTTCAGGGTGTGTTAGTCAAAAAACTGCAGCAGTTTAAGATGATTCCAGTCCTTGGCTAGTCCAGCCTAAGCAAGGTTAGCACTCCAGCAGAACTGGTAGAAGGACACATGAGTGAGTACCTCAGTTGCTGCAAATCAAAAATCCCAGCAATGTAGCTGAGCAGACAGGACTGGGGATAGCGAGAGTGGAGGCACAGAGCAGCTTTCCCTTGTGAGCCCCTTCTGCAAAGGAACAGACAGTCAAGGCACAGGGAAAGAGAAGACAGACGAAACATGAAGCTCTTCCACCACTTGAAATTTATCTTTTGGGATTTGTGTAAAGCCTAAAAGGATTAGGGCTGCTGTGTTTGGAAAGAGACTTCTGGCCTCAGTTCTTATTGAGCAAGTGAAATACATCTTATTTTCAGTCACATGCTCCACCATAAGAAATCTGAAGCGACATTTAAAAGTATGTAATATCAGCCATAAATACCAGGAGAGTTTCTACACACAGTTGAGTTAAACTTCTTACCTTAGAGGAATAAGTAGAAAATTTTTCCATTTTAAATGTAGCTCTCAAGGACTTTTAAAATATGCATATACCTTTAAATAAATATACACACATATTTGTGATAGTCATTCTGCACAATTTTGTGTTACCTTTACCTCATCTACAACAGGAGTCATCACAAAATAGGGAAGGCAGAAAATAAAACCTCCTGTTAGTTATTAACCTGGCAGAAACCAGTCTTGGAGCTTTGTCTTACCCAAGAGGCCTCTGAGTCAGGCAGAGGTGAAAAAAGTCAGAGCTGAGGCACAAAAGCACTAGATATGCAAGGAGGCAGCCTGGTCCCACTACTCACCACCAGGATGTTACAGAAAATGCTCTTTTCAGTAGGGAAATATCTTATCTTCTGCCTCTGGGAGCAGCTGTTCAAGGTCACAGCAAGACTTTGCTTTTGGCTTTTTGGATTTAAGCTCAGATAAGCAGGTTTGGGCCTCAGTCTTCCCACAGTTCCACTGGACTGTGACTCCTCTTGCATCTCTGTACTGGATGCATCACTCTGGTTTTCTTCCTCTGTTAGTTCATCTTCAGAGTCAGAATCAGGCTCATCAGGAGAGTCTTTCTTAATCTTTTCTATTCTGGGCATCTGTGCTAGAAGCAGGTTTAAAATGAACATGTAAAACACCTCTATGTGACTTTTTTCCCATGGCTGCAAGACTTGTACGTTCTAGTACTTGTACATCTAGGAGCTGGACAAGGTTCCTCTGAACTTTTTCCATCTGAAATAAAGGATTGTCAAACCAAACTAGACAATAAAAGGCCTTTACAAGTGTTTAATTTTATCTAATTAGCTCTTAATAAGCAATTATATTAAAGGAGGAGCTGAAACACTTCCTTTTTACTTGTGCTTGCTGTAAACTAGAGTAAAAGTAGTGGATATGACTGGTCAGGGAGTTATTAAAAAGAACACTTTTATTTTTAAACCTGAGAAAAGCTTTAATGTTCTTATTCTGTAAATATGCCAGTATGTAAAAATGTAGTGATGTGTGTAGTCTTACTGGTTAAAATGTAATTTAGAGCATTTGTGGAAACAGTTGGAGGCCTGGTGCTAAAAGCAGTCACTACTGCCAGAAATTGTGAATGTAAATGTAGCAAGAATAACCTTGCAAGAATTACTCTGTGTAGACAAAAGCCTGAGCACACAACTGCAGTGTAAGGATGTGGTACAGCTATATAAAATAGATATTTTGTCCCTGATTTTGAACTTCCTCAGCTGGGATTAGATTTTTTTCCCAGCATTAGAGCACAGTAGCAAGGTTTTATCCTCACGAGTGCAACAAGCAGCTTATTATTAGTCTAAACCAAAGCCTGTTACTGGTTGCTGACATGTTAGAAGAAAGAATCAGGGGTGGATTGGAAAAAACAAACTGGCAAAATACATAAATAAATGAAAATAGACGTCTTGCTCCCTTGAGAACTTTCTATCAGCCTCAACATAAAAGAATTCCTTACCAGCTCCCCAAGTAAAACCCTCCATGCACTCCCAAAAAGGAGAGGTGCAAGAGAACCATGAGGCCAGAATTTAAATTGTACAGAATTAGAGGATTAGGCTTGCTTTCTGGGGGATTTTTTGAAATAGAAACCTTTAAAAATTACTTGTGCTTTGTCTTTCTTAAATCAAATTACTGCTGAGAAAAAGGGAGAGTGTAGGAAGGGTAGGAGGCAGCTTGGTTGTCTTCTAAGCAAATTTAACAGAAAAGCATCATCATTTGTTTGGTTTTTCTATATGCTACCACCAGTACTAACAAAGCTTCAGTTTCCTCCTGTGACAAGTGGCATTAACCTAAAAATAGCCAGCAGAGTGCTTTAAGGAGGAAGTTAACTTCATGCAGCAGCATTTTACCTGATCAACTCCCCAACTTACCTTCATTGAGCAGCAGCTGTAGCCAGATAATGGCGATGATCAGCAGCATTACAAAAGGCAAACAGAACCAGAAGAAAAGCAGTGGAAAGGTCAGCTCATTCACCAGAGGAACCAGGGGATACCTCATGGCTTGCTTCAGGTTACGCTAAGTTTAGAACAGCCCGACTGCTCCCCTTTCTAACCACTCTTAATAACTCTCATTGCAGCGCTGGTGGTCACAAGAGGAGTGATAAATCAGCAGAGGGGACAGCCCCGTGCTGGGGAGGGAGCAACAGGGATTAATGGGGGATAAGAACAACTGAGAAAGGCCAATCAAGTCAGATGTTTTCTTCAGCTGCTATTTAAAGGATAAATACAGGTTAGGAAGCTTTCGAGGCTTATGTTAAAACTGTAGTTATAGTTCTTGTCTTTGGATACAGGGGAGGTAAGCAAGTGCTTCAGCAACTTTGAGACTGAGTAGCCAAGGTTGCCCCTGAGAATAAAACAGATTCAACCCTCCAGAGAGGTGTAGAGGATGGGCAGCTACAAGATACTTCTCCCTGGCTCTTATTCATTGTGGAGTACAAATATGTCCCATATAGACTCTATTTTTAGCCTACTCTGTATATCCTCATCTATTAGTTAATCCTTTAGGGAAATAAACCTTTATATTTTAATTGCCCTTCTGTCTCCCTTCCCTCCAAGAAAGGCAACTAGCACATTTTATAGGATGTGTGTCGACAAAAGTATTGCTTAAGAGTAAAGGAGTTTAGTAGTGATCAAAGGAACCAGATATGCGACTTGATAACTTGATATTCATCACGCTGTGTGTTTCTCCTTCAATAAAATAAAGCCTTAATCTACTGTTTACCTCACAGAGGGTTGTTTGGCTAGATTAATTGTTTGTGTAGCTCTCAGGAGAAGAGAGCAGTGATATAAATGCACATTACAAATGATTGCCTGCATCCTGAGCGTGTGCTTGTTTTAATGTAGGAACAGCCCCTTGAAATGAGCCTTTTAATCCCAAGATCTAAATGAACTCTGCAAATTCTTATTAATTCACATTAATAACACCTCTGCAGGATAAAAGAAAGCTATTAGCCCTGCTTTGTGCATTGAATAAACAAGTGAGAAAAGCCATTGCTGCCCCAAGCTTCAAGAATGCTCAATATTTGAGTCCCCATTTCACAGAGTGGGGATGGTGGGTTGGGGGTACCTCTGGAAATCAGGCTGTTGCTAGTTTGTCTGCAGAGGCAGTGCTGAGAGGGATGGAAAGGAGCTGAAGCCGTCATCTGTTTAATTTTAATGACAAATTGTGTCTCTTAGTCACATCACTGGAAGCCCTTGGACTCCACGCTGGCTCTCACCGAGCTGAGCCAGCCTGGGACGTCCTTGTTGCCATGGCAGGATGGATCCCACCCTGGAACCCCATTTCTCCAGGGAATAGGGGTTGAAATAAGGGGAAAGGCCTTCCCCATTCCCTGCATCTCCAGAGAGGCTGGTGGCACAGGAGTGGCAAACACCTGGGCTGTGTCAGTGACCTCTTGGGCAGGTGGCACAGCCCAGGGCTGTGGGGTTTCACCTCCACACAAGCCACAGCCATGGTGGAGGTTTCACAGCCCAAGTTTAAAGGGCAGGGGGCCCTATGTGAAGGGTAGCAGAAGTAGAGCCCAGCCCCAGGCTGACAGTGATACCCACAAAATTGGATTTATTCCCTGGTGTGCAACAAGCCAATAGTGTCATGCTCCAGAGTTTATTTCATTAAACATTCAATAAACATTGTTTATTTCATAGCTGCCCTAGCCTGGGTGCTCAGTGGTGTTCCACAAATCCAGCACACCCCCATGGACTTTCCCTGCCATTATTTAGACACAGAAATTCAAAGCTAGTGACTTTCCAAGCACAGCCCCTCTGTTAGGACTGGTTAGCAAATTCCATGCAAGGTACATCAGCCCAGCCAATTTCTGTGCATTCTCAGGGGAAGGGTCTTTTTTAGTGTTATAATGAACATGTTCAGCTCTAGGACACGAGCACCTTGTGAATATTTTTAATAGATAGATATACATCAACATCTTCCTTTGCTACAGCCTTGGAGCTTGTTAGCTTCAGGATATCCTTGATGAAGGGATGATCCTGCCTGTTCCACTGATGAGGTCTCCTTTCTTGCTCATTAGACTTGAAACCACACAAAGGTCTTACATCAAAAAACATCCCAACTTAAGATAATCTAGACAGGTTCCACCCTGGGGGTGCTGGTGGACAGAGGCTGAACATGAGCCAGGTGTGCCCAGGGGGCCAGAAAAGTCAATGGTGCCCTGGCCTGACTCAGGAATAGTGGCCAGCAGGAAAGTGGTTCTTGCCCTGTGCTGGGCACTGGTGAGGGTCACCTCGAGTCCTGTGTCCAGGTCTGGGCCCTCAGTTCAGGAAGGACAATCTCTGGGGCTGGATGAGGCTCTGAACTAGCTGACGTGGTTGTGTTAGGTCGTAGGTTGAACTCGATGATCTCAGAAGCATTTTCCAATGCAAACGATCCTGTAAGGAATGCCAACAGGTTGGAGTAGACAATTGTCCCCCTCTACTCTGCCCTAGTGAGACCCCACCTCAAACACTGCACACAGTTCTGGTGTCTCCAGCATCAGATGGACGTGGAATTGTTGGAGCAAGTCCTGAGGAGGCCACGGAGCTGCTGAGAGGACTGGAGCACCTTGAGACAGGCTGAGAGAGCTGGGGCTGCCCATCCTGCACAAGAGAAGGTTGTGTGGAGACCTCACGGCACATTTCCAGTGTGTGAAGGAGCCACAGGGAGGCTGGGCAGTGACTCTCCCTCAGGAACTGCAGTGAGGGGGAATGGGTACAAATTGAGAGAGTGGAAATTCAGGTTTGATATTAGGAAGAAATTGTTTTATTGTGAGGGTGGGCAGGCCCTGGCACAGGGTGCCCAGAGCAGCTGTGGCTGCCCCTGGATCCCTGGAAGTGCCCAAGGACAGGGTGCAGAGCAGCCTGGGACAGTGGAAGGTGTCTCTGCCATGGCAGGGGCTGGAATGGGATCTTCTAAAGTATTTTCTATGATTCTGTGCTGTGCTGGCTGCTTCCTATCCCACCAGCAGGTCTCGTCTCCTGCTGGAAGCACACAAAGAGCTCACATGACGAAGCACACTCATTTAAGATGATTATTTTAAGTCCCCGCGTCTGGCGGCAGCGGCGGCCCGGAACCCCCGTGCGGGCCCGAGTTCCCGGCCGGACGCGGGCGGGAGGCGCGCCCGCCATGGCGGCGCCCGCGCGGGTGTTCGCGTTCCGGGACGTGCGCTGGGCCCCGGACCCGGTGCTGGCTCCGAGCGCGGCCGTGCGGAGCCCGCAGCCGGCGCCGCTGGTCATCGACAACGGCTCCTTCCAGACGAGGGCGGGATGGGCCTGCCCCGACCCCGCCGTCCCCGCCGAGCCGCTGCTGCGGTTCCGCTCGCTGGCGGCGCGGAGCCGCGGGGCCCGCGGCGGGGCCGGCGCAGAGACCCAGGTGGGGAATGACCTGGGCAGCCCCGAGCCCCTGCGCTGGCTGCTGCGCTCGCCCTTCGACCGCAACGTGCCCGTCCAGCTGGAGCTGCAGGAGCTGCTCCTCGACCACGTCTTCCAGCGCCTCGGCGTCTCCTCGCAGGTACCGGCGGGCCGGGGCTGAGCCGCCCGCGGATCCCAGCATGGTTTGGGTTGGAAGGGACCGGGGAGAGCACCTC